AACGCCTGCCATTTGAAATAAATAAATAAATAAATGATGAAAGGTACTCAATCCCTAAATCTCCGGCTAAATTAGTGATTGATTTAGAAATTATGTCTTTTTTCGCTTTTCTGCGGTTTATAATTAAATTAGCAAGGTCTATTCCTTAATCCTTTTTTAACGATTTCTGAAACTTTTAATTTCAGGATGGGCCACTCTAAGCAGAAAAAGCTTCAAAACGTTTTGTGTCTACTAGTTGAATTCATCGTAAACACACCAAAAAGCTATAGAACTGAATTCTTTATCTCATAAGTCCAGAAATGGATTCATGGCATATTTTATATATGAGAAGATTAAATGACATATTTTAATTAAAGCTTTTAAATCAACTCTATTTTTCTATTATTTTAGTCTCGGAGTGCTATAACCTAGGATTAACATGCGCTAGAACTTTCTTGTTCTAAGGGGGAATTTACTTAACCTCGTTATATTTTGACCGATTTAGTTTACTTAATTACAACTACGCAATTATAAATAATTGACTATAAGATAACAGAGATTTACCAGACCAACTAAAGACACTAGCCCCTTTAAATATATGCCAACTTACTTATGAATTTACGCATCGAATTCTTCAGCCGAATTCATTTCTGTTTGGCTTTACTAGTTAATTGTAAGTTGTATATATATAAAGGATGTCATGTGTTATACATTATTTTCGAATTACTCAAGGTCATCTTCAATGTGCAGAAGTTCTTCGTCCGTTTCATCCTGTGCCATATGACGGTAGTTAATCTTGGCCAATGGCTTTCAACAGTGGTTCAGGAAATAATGATTTCAGATGGTGATGGTGAAGAAGTCGCTACCTCGCGATTAGCTATCAATCCAAATATAACGACAAATTCAACTCTTAGGAGTGAGTTAGCCACAAGGAATGGAAAATTATACTCTGAAAGTAACTAAAGCACTACCTAAATTCATTTCAGCCACCTGCAAGTCACAAGTTGCTGACTTCGTTCATTTTCTCATTCCTTGTGGGGTTGAGTACAGCTTGATTGCCTGCGCTATATTCTTCAAGATGTTCCGACAGGTTGGACATGTTCCCGAAATCAAAACAATGAAACGTCAAGGCTTGCCAAATTTGGAGCTAAGACCTGGAATCGAATGTCTGTCAAGGTATGTTAAAAAAGATATAATACAACGTTGATGTTGACTCTTTCATACACTGAAAGAAATTGGTTCCAGAAAAAATGTTTTCCCTAACTCCCGAAGCAAATAGCAAAAAAGCTTTCCATTCCCGAAACCTAGAATTCAAGTAGAGTATCGATCGAAATAGCTTTTCGGTAGACCGTTTGGTACACTACCAATCGTATATTGTTAAAGGGGATTTTAAGGTAGCCCCTGATTAATTTAATAACTACACCGAGTTACAGAACTTTCTTTGTCTGCTTTTCCATTCCACTTGTGAAAAAGTCTTTCGTGACCTTTACTATACGCCTCTTCCTCTATCAGTCCGGTTTCATTCAAAGCTACCTTTAGACTCATATCCTTACCCCGCCTTGTTTAAATAACACGCACACACACACACACGTACATGCTCACTTCTTTCTTCACTTACTCCAGTGATTTCTCATTGCTGCTTATTCAATGAACTTCAATTTAAAACCATCGTTTAAATCTGTCACCGGTTATTTAATGTTTTAGTATCTAAGATCAATTTCCTATTCAATTTCTCTCAATATTTTGTACACTCCACGAATTCACACTTCTGCATAACAATGGACGTTAGTATGAATTCCTAAATTGATAAAATTGATTCTTGTTTCTTTCAAAATTATCTTCATTTCAATATTACTTCCACTCTTCTATCTTTTATCTGCATTGGTAATTTTATATTATTGTTGGGATAGTCGAAGTCCAGGACTATTCATGCTAGATGCTTGAGTGAAGAACTTCAATTCTGTTGCTATCGTATCATGCCTACTCTTTTTCCGAATGGAAGGACTTAGACGCATTCATATACCAAAAACCTAGTTAATCCAATTAACATAATCTTGTTAATTGGGCAAAATCAGTCTGGATTCTCTGTTATATAGTCAATTATCAAATTTAAGCTACTGGTATCGAAACCTGTATGCCATATTATTTCCTTTGGTAAATTTCCAACTAATTTTCATTAAGTGGACGTGGAGATAAAGTGGCCAAGTGACGAGGCAATGGCTTCAATTGTAGGTGACACTAAGTGCAAATGTTCGAAGAAGTTTTAAATCGCAAGAATTTTGACCACCCACGGCGCCATGTGTGCCTGTCACGATATCAAAGTGCAAATGACGTAAGCGTTCAAGAATGGTCCAAATTGTTTATTGTTCCCAACAAAAGATGAACAGATTCATTCTCGCGTTTGTCTGGCATACACAATCTAAGTGTTTAATGAGGTAAAAATATGAGGGACAGAGTTTCGCTAATTTCAAATTAATATAGCATGCTGTTACTCCGACTTTAATAGTTATAGCCCTAATACAAGCTTCGGTATTATCTAGCTTAAATTTCACTCTAATTATTCCCCAAATATCCTAATCTAAACATTTACTAAATGTGGAACCTTAAAACTCAGTCAGTAAAGAAATGGTGGAATTTTTTTTATTAAGCAACCAATGAAGCGTCACTTTTTTATCCACAGGGAAGATCCAACCGAATGTAAACACGCACACAAGGGGTTGTTTGCGGGACTCTTCCTTGTCATGTCAACCATAGTTGCGCTCGCATTTCTCTACACATACCTGCACCATAAAAATTACTTCGAAGCAATAGTCATTTCCCAAGTGACCGATATCAGCCTCCTCTCCATTGGTATTCTAACCGTCAGTGTTGCATTGTACCAGATGCGAGTACTATGCCTCAGTCAGTTATCAGAGGAAAGAGCTTTTGATAATAACTTACTACTCATTGGCTTGCTGGGGATCCTTTTCTACAATATGTTTCTTCTTGTTCCCGCACTTGGCGCAACCGGAGGACTCCATGTGTTGGGAAGCATTTTCGTCTCCAAAGCGATTCTTGAGATTTTCCAGGCTTTAATGCAGGTAGGATTCAAAGGATACTTGAATAAGTTATTTACTTTAATGGCTCAGAATTAATTTTAATTTAGAATAAATGTTTTCTTTATGAACTTGTTTTTATGATCAGAATTAGAAAGCTGGATAATCAGCCACCTGCTAAATTAAATCACTTTAAAAGCCTTTTAGCTAGTCAAATTATTCTGCTAATGAAAACACAGGATTCAAAGGCTAAAGTTTATTACTTGCCGACTGTATTAAAGATGCACCTGTCGATTTCGGCATAGTTTCATCAAACGACGAGGTTTCTTTTGCTCTCAATCTTCTAGTTTCTTTAAACGGTGTTAATTTTAAGGATAACAGGAAAGAGTAAGCCGTTTTATACCAATGTCTTTGTAAGTAATTTGTTGAGGATTTGATATTAAATCGATAATAGAATAAGTTACGTAACTTATTTTTAACAGTGTTGAAGGAACCAAGTGTTTTACAGATAGATTTTTGATAAAATGTAACCTGTTTGGAGGTACGATAGTTAATTTTTAGTCTACAGTCTCCAAAATGTCTTTAAGGAAAATAATTGTTGAATGCCTTTTACGAAATGATTGGTTGGTCTATGTCCACTATAATGTATCAAAATGTCTAACATGCTAAGATGACTTATAGATACTCCGTTCATTCGTATTATATGAAATCTCTAATAACGTTTACTGCTAGACTCAAACATTATAACTTCCACAGAAATTAATTTAAAGCAGCAACCTTGAGAATCCACACAGATAAAAGTGTTAAAAGGAGTCAATTTAGACCAGACAGTCTTTCACACAATTTTTAACTACCAATCAAATGGACATTTTGGTAAGAGCTCTTTCACACCAAGGGTCGGAAGATAATTTTAGGAGACAAACTTGATTTGACGTCAGTTAGTCGTCGATAGTGCAATCTTATTGGTTAAATGGAACGAACTTTCCTTAAGGACAATTCAATGAAGTACATATTTCAACTATTTTGCTTTGCTCCTACATTTCCACTGATTGCAAAGGGTTCGAAAAATACACATTTTTTGCTCAAAAGTAATTATTGGTATATTTGTAATTACACTTTTTCCATTGTCAATTATTATCAGCCATTTAGAAAATTGCAATCGGCGCTAAGGGAGATTTGGCCTTATTTGAGCTCCATATAATATTTACCCCTTTTAGTGATAAATTTGCTTTGCTAAATGGCTCATAAATAAAAGACTTCACCTAGCAACGATCTCTGATCCAATCAGAATGGTCGAACTTAAAAATTTGAATATTATACAGAGACCAAATTAAATTCCGAATTTTGATTGATATTCAAAAACCGAAAAGATATCAGATGAAACGTTTAGGATCATTTAGCAATATATATATATATATATATATATATATATATATACTGTGAAGAATAGGATTGTGGAAAAGATTACTGCCTTAGTTGTGCTCTTACGCTCATCAAATGGTTTTAAGAGTTTTTCCAGGAAAATAATATTTAACCGACCGTCAATTTATTAAAAAAAGCTGGTGTGGAAATGACAAGTATAGGGGTTTCTCTGCGTTACTTTCGCAAATAGAAATTCTATTGGCTATAAATACGTAAGTTGTCAAGCTAATCAGCTCTTTTAATTGCACGATTAAGACGGTATATGCGCCCAATTTAAACTACTGAAATTTTATTTTCTTACTAAAATCTTCTTTTTACACTCAAGCTATTGTTTCGAAAGAGATCCTTTTAAATTCGCTCCA